CCCCCCCCCCCCCCCCATGGTGCCGAGGTGAAGGTGACAAAAGGTCTTTCAGAGAGATCCTGAGAACACTGAGCTCACCCCAACATTGTACAGACTGTTAAATGAAGTAAATAAAGGGAAATAAGAAGGGAAATCACTCGTTTGTAAGTCCATTTGCACAATTATAATGATTTTAAAAAAGTCAATTCACCTAAAACTGAAGGTGGAGTTCTCAGATCTGCCCTCTATGGAATGACCCTACAGACATAAACACACCCAGAATGGGGTACAGGAGGAGAAGCAGCTTCAGGCTGTACACATTGGCACCCAGATCTCCACACATTTGAGGTCTGTAAGTATAAAGCTGGCACACACATTACAAGCTGAATGTACGACATCCTTCATCTTCATCAACTATGTATCATGAGGACCTGCCTACCTGGCTATAAATTAAATAGATTATATAGGGAAGTATTTGCACTACATTGTTGTTGGTAAATCTAATTGGGATTATACAAACACATTAAGGTGAATTGATCAGACCTGGAGTAGACAGAATCTGGAGCAGTTGCCCATGGCAACAAATCAGCTTCTATCTTTAATTTTCAAAGCTTAACTGAGCAAACTGAAGCTAATTGGACGACTGCTCAGGCCACCTTAACAGAGCTGGATGAGACTTTATGCAAAACACCAGTGTGTCAGCATCCGCAGTGCTGGGTGACATACAGGAGGCTCAAACAGGGTCACCCTCGATATCGGCCACTGGGGTCCATTATCAGGACTCCCCGAACTGATCCAGGTACTTCCGCACTTTGAGCATTATTAGTTTATTTCAAGATCTTATCATATCATAGTTTTTACTTAAACTTATATGTAGCTGCAAGGCATGGGAAGTCTTAAAGGAGAACTATGGGGTTAAGGCTTTTCCCCATAGTTCTCCTTAGGGTAACGGGAGGACACAAACTAGCGTCCTCCCGTTACCCTAAGCTCAGTATACCGCGAGCTACAGCTCGCGGTATACTGAGACGCCGCAGCCGGAGCGGATCCCGACAATTATGCCGGGATCCGCCCAGCTGCGTGACTGACAGCTGGCTCTGCCTATCTAGAGGCAGAGCCAGCTGTACCCGCCCCCTCCCCCGTCCGTTCCGCCAGTCAGCGCTGGAAGATCGGAGCGGGGAGGGGGGAATCCAGCCTCTCCCCTGTCACGGCAGAGAGCCGTGACAGGATCGAGAGGTGAGCGAACGCCGGTATGTGTTCGCTCACCTCCCGATCTACTGAGCCGACCTGTGACAGTCTCATTGTCACAGGTCGGCTAGAACTATGAGGTGAGGGAAAGGCACTCACCTCATAATTCTCCTTTAAGACCTTTGGTGGCCCTGGAGCCATATGTGGCCCTTTCTCGGCCTAGGTGTTACCCTGGGCCAGTGATTGAAAATGATGTATTATACTGCTAGTTAAATGGTTGTTTCTTCCACACTCTCTTCTTTTTTTTCCTGTGCTGTCCATTTCCTTTGCTCTTTCTTTGTATTTTTTTTCCCTCTGACCTTTTATAAAAGTTCGTGCTGAGCAGAATATCTAATGGAGCAGCAGTAGTTTTTTAAGCCCATCTCCAGGCCAACAAAAAAGTTCCCTTGCAGTGAGACTACTACCTCACTGCAAGGGTTAAGTGATCATTTTTGTTTAGGAGTAAAGTAGTTTTACTTACCTGATCCTGCTCCACCAGCAGTCAGCTTTTCCCCTTCTGCTCCAGCTGGTGGAATGTCCTTCAGCATCCTCACGTCAAATGCAGGTCTTTGGATCCTGCATTAGACGTGATGACATCAGTGATCCTTAGACCACCAGAACCTAGGGGCTAAGTGACTGTGGGAACCGGTCTAGCAGTGGTCTAGCAGAGGGAGCTGGCAGGAGTGGGGATCAGGTAAATAAAACGGCTTTACTCGAGCACCCAAACAAAAACGAGCAGCTTTAGGGAGGGTGTAGGGAGCACCAATATGGGAGTATTGGTTTGTAAAGAGGCTCTAATGGCAGTGATCTGTAGCAGTCTCTTGTAACATATTCCCAGCCTCTAACCGTCTCTTGCACCAGGTCCTCCAACCACTCCTGTAGCATGTCTACAGTCTATGTCATGTCACTTTGGCTGATGAAGGGACCCCTTGCAGGTAACAAAGCAATCCATTAAATATGTGACATGCCTAGTTTGTGCTAATCACAGCAATTTTATTTTTTAACCATATAGTGTACTGGCAATATCTGTCCAGCCCTGGCTGCTGCTCCCCATCAGTGGGTCTTTCCAGTCTGGTCTGGTCCGTGATGAGGATATACATGCAGAGTCTATGGCCATCTCCTTTAGCATGCCCGCAGTTGCTGACCATATACTGTAATGTTTCTGAATGTTCTGTAACAACACATACTCTGAATATTGGTGGCACTTGGTGATTTCAGGGGTCACACTTGAAACCCCCAGTGTCAGGAAAGTTGATCACCGCTGCATAAATATCTGGATTGTATTAGGGAAAATGTGTCTGCCGTCTGCTCCTAAAGCTCATTTCAGACAATGTCCCTTGTTAATACTTTGCTGGTTTTAAAGAACCCTGCTGCCTGACCTCCAGCCAGTGAGATGGACGACCCATTTAATATCTCAGCACAAAGCAGGCAAGCAAAGAACACTTGTGCCTGCAGACCAGCGGATTGTGCTGACACTCCCTCTAAAAATCCAAAGCTTCTGACCTATAATGTACGTTTTCTTAGATATTTCTACAGAAATGGTTCGGTCATGAGTGAACTATTTTTTTCTTTTATACTGTGTCAGGAGGAAGAAAAGGGCCATCAAGTTGGCTGATATTGGCAACCTAAACTACCTAATATCAACTGAACATTTTATATGTTACGCCCATTGTTGTTACCTAGTCAGCACCTGTTCATTCCCAAGTTTAGAACATTTGTGATTGTCAAATGTACCTTATTTTTTAATATTGTTACCTGTTCCCTCACTGCAATAAATAAGACTATTATTTCTCAACAGTTGGACTGCCAGTGCTGAGTATAACCATGTTGCCACCTAACCAGACCCTGCCGGATGAACCTAATGTCCAGGGTGCAGCTTCTCTACTTACCTTTGGCCAAATGTCTTCTCCTACTATGTACAACCTCTACAACAGTGACACCTGCAGGTAACAGTGGAAAGTGCAGATCACGTATCCAGTTCATGCTGGACAGGCATTTGGGACCAGATACTAAGCAGACCCCCTCAAAGATTGACACTAATCTAAATAATAATATATATTTTTTTTTACAAAAGGCGCTCCTATTAACATGTTTAATTTTCCTATATTGGAGAACAGCTAATTTGCAGTCTTGTCAACAGTTCCACAATTATACTGGAAATATCGGTCTGTAGTTTTTTTACATATACATGTACATGTAACCTGCCTAAAGGTTAAGTCCACATTTAAAAAAATAAATGCGTGTGTCTTCAAAAAAGAAAAAATGTGCATTTACTATTTTGTTGCATTGGAGCTAGTGAGTACAATGCTCTGGCTCCTGCAGATTCTCCCTCCCACCAAAGACCTGATATTTAGTAGCAGGGATGGCAAGAAGAATGAATGGACTACAAATGCAGTGACGCCACAACACTTGTATTCCATTAAGAACTTTATGCACCTCTTTCCTGGATCCTGATGGGTGAATGCAGCCCTTAAAGTGGACTGGTGCTCCATTTGACATGTTTAAAGCTTTCTCTGAGAACATATGCCTATGTAACAATCACATTGCTGGTGGCAGCTTGCCAGTGATAGGATCAGTCACCTGCTTTTATGGCACTGTTGGGGAACAAGATACTTGCAGCATTTTGGGCAGTAAGGGAACGATGCCATAGAAGCAGGTCAGTGTTGGTATTCTTGCCAGCAACAGGATTGCTAGTCTGACCTTGGCCATACTAAGCGAAAAAGAGTGTCTTGTAGATTCTGTCACTGTTGGACTGACATCAAGGTAACCTAAACACTGTCAACATTATTTTCTCACAGCATGGACAAGATCCTCTTTCCTGGCATGAACTCATACACAGAAATAACAGCGGTTCCTAGGAGGATGACCTCAAACCTATCTACCAGGAAACCTTGGCAGGTAAGTTATAACCAGTGTGTTGGTGGCGTGTAGGTCATAGCGTGTCAGCCTGACAAAATGAAACTCCACCTAAGCATATTTAGCTGGTTTACATGGAGTGGGAAAGTATTTTATTAAACTGTTGGATCTTTGGGGCTGTCTGAGAATCAGTATGGAGATCTTCTCTTACATCCGACCCAGTGCATGTTCAAATTCAAACCATTTTCCACTCACCCAAAATATTGATTAAGTTATTATTGATTTGTGTTGACTCCTAATATCTGCCTGGTATTTCATTTGTTCTCTGCACTCCCCTAAGCACCAGCCTGTGGAAGCACTTGAACCTTTGGCGCTGTGGGTGTGCCCCACCAGAAACTCATGCATACAACATGGTGGCACCAAAGTTCCAGATATAGTGTCAGAAAAAAAATTAAATGAATTGGAAGATTGGAGGTTTTTAAAGTAAAACTGTGACCTGCTCATAAATGGCAAAGCAACACCATCACTTTCATCCCTCTTTCCCAGCAGCACATACTTCTCTTTCCTTCCATCCCTCATTGCTAGGTTCAGCAACTAGGAATTGAAAGTAGTACTTCTGGGTGGAGTAGGGATGCACCGATACCGATACTAGTATTGATATCGGTGCCGATTCGGAGTATTTGGGCAAGTACTCGTACTCGCCCAAATGCTCCGATGCCTAGCACGAGTACTTCCGGTATCAGGAAGCCGGGCAGCGCGTCATTACACGCTGCCCGGTTTCGCTCTCTCGTCACTTGTGATGAGAGAGCATGGAACCGACTTCCCGGCCAATCAGGAAGCCGGGCAGCGTGTAATGACGCGCTTCCTGATTGGTCGGGAAGTTGGCCAATCAGGAAGCTGGCCTCGTGAGGTAAGGTTACCTTACCTTAGTATGTGCAGCCTGCCACCCTCGGGGCCTCTCCAGCGAGAATGCGGCCTTCGTCCGGTACCCAGCCGGAGCCGTCCAATCAGGAAGCCGGGCGCCGTCTAATGATGCGACGCCCTGCTTTCTGATTGGCCGGGAAGCTGGCTTCATGCTCCCTCGTCATCTATACCGGTATCGGTGTATCCCTAGTATGGAGGAGTTCACCAGAACAGAAATCAAGATTCAACACAAATCTTTCCTTCCTTGTGTAGACATCCTAAAGCCCTGAGACTGCTGACGTGTGCCGCCATCTTGGATGTGATGTCAGCAGCCCAAGCAGACTCAGAATCTTCACTCAAGTGACACTCTATGATATTCCCCTTTGCTCTTCCCCCACCAGCTATATAAAAGTTTATACACCAGTCAGTCATAACATTGTGATCTGAGAGGTGGAAGGAATAACAATGATTATTAGGTTACAATGGCACCTGAGAGTGGGTGGGATATATTAGTCAGCAAGTGAACATTTTGTCCCTGAAGTTGATATGTTGGAAGCAGAAAAAAGGGGCAAGCATAAGAATTTGAGCGACTTTGACAAGGGCCAAATTGTGATGACTGGGTCACAGCAACTCCAACACCACAGCTCTTGTGTGATTTTTCTGGTCTGCAGTGGTCAGGACCTACCAAAAGAGATCCATAAATGGAAAACCGGAGAACCAGCGACCGGGTCATGGGCAGCCAAAGCTCATTGATGCATGAAGGGAGAGAAGACTGGCCAGCCGATTCGGAGTATTTGGGCAAGTACTCGTACTCGCCCAAATGCTCCGATGCCTAGCACGAGTACTTCCGGTATCAGGAAGCCGGGCAGCGCGTCATTACACGCTGCCCGGTTTCGCTCTCTCGTCACTTGTGATGAGAGAGCATGGAACCGACTTCCCGGCCAATCAGGAAGCCGGGCAGCGTGTAATGACGCGCTTCCTGATTGGTCGGGAAGTTGGCCAATCAGGAAGCTGGCCTCGTGAGGTAAGGTTACCTTACCTTAGTATGTGCAGCCTGCCACCCTCGGGGCCTCTCCAGCGAGAATGCGGCCTTCGTCCGGTACCCAGCCGGAGCCGTCCAATCAGGAAGCCGGGCGCCGTCTAATGATGCGACGCCCTGCTTTCTGATTGGCCGGGAAGCTGGCTTCATGCTCCCTCGTCATCTATACCGGTATCGGTGTATCCCTAGTATGGAGGAGTTCACCAGAACAGAAATCAAGATTCAACACAAATCTTTCCTTCCTTGTGTAGACATCCTAAAGCCCTGAGACTGCTGACGTGTGCCGCCATCTTGGATGTGATGTCAGCAGCCCAAGCAGACTCAGAATCTTCACTCAAGTGACACTCTATGATATTCCCCTTTGCTCTTCCCCCACCAGCTATATAAAAGTTTATACACCAGTCAGTCATAACATTGTGATCTGAGAGGTGGAAGGAATAACAATGATTATTAGGTTACAATGGCACCTGAGAGTGGGTGGGATATATTAGTCAGCAAGTGAACATTTTGTCCCTGAAGTTGATATGTTGGAAGCAGAAAAAAGGGGCAAGCATAAGAATTTGAGCGACTTTGACAAGGGCCAAATTGTGATGACTGGGTCACAGCAACTCCAACACCACAGCTCTTGTGTGATTTTTCTGGTCTGCAGTGGTCAGGACCTACCAAAAGAGATCCATAAATGGAAAACCGGAGAACCAGCGACCGGGTCATGGGCAGCCAAAGCTCATTGATGCATGAAGGGAGAGAAGACTGGCCTGTGTAGTCCGATCCAATAGAAGAGCTACTGTAGCTCAAATTGCTGAAAAAGTTAATGCTGGTTCTCATGGTTTCCGAACATATAGTGCATCGCAGTTTGTTGCGGATAGGGCTGTGTAGCTGCAGACCGGTCATGGTGCCCTTGCTGTCCTGTGTCCACCTCCACAAGCACCTATAATAGGTAAGCATCAGAGCCAGACCATGGAGCAATGAAAGGAGGTGACCTGGTCTGATTAATCACGTTACCTTTTACATCATGTGGATGGCCGGGTGTGTTTGTGTCGCTTACCTGAGGAAGAGATAGCACCAGGAGACAAGCCAGCGGAGGCAGTGTAATGCTTTGGGCAATGTTCTGCTGGGAAACTTGGGTCCTGCCATTCATTTGGATGTTACTTCGACACATACCACCGACCTAAACATTTGTGCTGACCAAGTACACCCCTTCATGGAAACAGTATTCCCTGATGGCAGTGGCCTCTTTCAGCAGAATAATGCTCCCTGCCACACTGAAAAAATGGTTCAAGAATGGTTTATGAAGCACAACAATAGAGGTGTTGACTTGGCCTTCAAATCCTCCAGATCTAAATCCAATCGAGCATCTGTGGGATGTGCTGAAACAACAAGCCCAATCGATGGGGGCCCCATCTGGCAACTTACAGGACTTAAAGGATCTTTTACTGATGGCTTGGTGCCAGATACCACAGCATTCCTTCAGGTCTAGCAAAGTCTATGCCTTAAGGTGGGGTGTCAAACTCAATTCAATCGTGGGCCGCATCAACATTATGGTTGCCCTCAAAGGGCCTGTAAGACTATATAAATGTATCTAATGTTTATCATAATTGCCTCTGCATTCAATTATCACTGGTTTTAGTAATAATTTAATACCTAGATCTGAAAGTAGAAGTCTAGGAAATGGCCTGGTGGGCCGGATTCGGCCCCTGGGCCTTGAGTTTGACACATGTGCCTTAAGGGGTCGGGGCTGTTTTGGCAGCAAAAAGGGAACCTACTCAATATTAGGTGGATGGTTAATAATGTTATGGTGATAGGGTCTCTTTAAGGTGCATGAATCTAGTAATTTAAGTAACAAAACCTAAATATCGAGCAAATAAAGATTTAGGCGCTTATAATGACATTGCTCAGGGAATAAACTGTACATCTGGGCTAGGTAGAAATTTGCTTTTCGTTTCTTTTTCTTCAGTAAATGTATTAGGCTAGAAAATAATGAGGTATTTGGTATACTTTACCCACAATGCACTGCTTTCCAGGTGGCAACATTGGACCTACGCTCACAAGATCTAAAGACCAAAGACACGACGATGGTTTGGGTGCCAAATTCCCAGCAGAAATCCCAAGAACAAGAAAATAGGTACATACTGTGTGTGCAGGCAGCAAAGCAAGTTAATATTCAGGATTCACTTCTCACCAAGGAGCTTGTATGCACATCAGCTGTTTAGTTTGAGTTTCTCTTAGTACCGTGGTTTCCTTTCACAGTCCACAAATGTTCAGAATATTCTGGGGTTAAAATAACAGACCATGAGACATAGATAATTATTTTGTCCTTATTCTGGGAGAGCTTCCTGTGTATTCTTCTAGAAAACATAAGTATGAAGTCAGTAATCAGGCATCATGTATGTATTTCTCCATTTAGAGAAAAACCTTTGAAGGTTCATATTAAAGAACTGACATTTGCAGATGCGTGTGGCGAGCTGAGAAGGAAAAATCGGGACTCAGATGTGGTAAGTCAGTTGCTTTAATACACAGATTAGCCACTCAGGCACCCAGAATAGTCGCTTGGGGTTGGTGGAGAGCACTCTGTAAGCTCCAAATCAAGACTTGGTCTCATGTGGCATTTTGCCGCCTTACTAGCAACCATTAGAGCCCAGAGTAGCATTTTAATTTTTTTAGGATGGCTATTTCAGGGTTCTTTTATATATTTATTTTTAATGGCAGGAGGGCCAAGATAAAGGGGGTTGGCTAATACAATATAGATCTGGTTTAATGTAACTTGCTGAAGAGATCTATTGGATTTGAAGGTTCTGTGCCATCTTTAACAAACTACATGTAAATCTGTATGTAAATAAATCCTAATTACATATTCATGTTGTTTGGTTAGCCAAAAATTAGGAAAGTGACTAAACCACCTACAGGGGGACGCCCTCATAACCTGATCCTTGCCAATTCTCCGATAATGATGCAGGCGCACACCAGAAAATGGATGACCGCAAGGTAGGGCATTTCACTATCCCTTTCATATCTGGCTCATGCAATGGCCACTAGCAGCTCATGCATACACCAGCTGTAGAGGAGCTAAATGTCCCTCTATGCCCTACCATTCTTATATTGCTTAGGTCTACTAGCAGCAATCTCACTACTGAGGTGTTAGATGTCTCAGAATGTCTTGTCAATGCAAAATAGATTGGGGCAACTAGCTAGGATATAAGGTGGTCAAGTGGTAACACTGTGCCTTACAATGTGCAAAGTACAGTAACTCCAAGCATGCAATCAAAAGTCATCTCTTAAAGCAAACCACATATTTCAGGGAGGAAAGGAAGCCCTGTGTAAGCTCCAGTTCACTCTAGTTGGAGCTAATACAAGGCTGAGGACTCTCTCCATGCCCCCCTGTGACAGCACTTTGCCAATTATCAATTAGCAGTGCTGTCACATTAAAGTAAGGAGGTGAGTTCCATGCTGCTATATTTGTAGCTCTCTTCATTCTAGTTGGAGCTTATACAGGGCTGAGGACTCTCTCTATGTCCCCCATATGGCAGCACTTTGGCAATTATTAACTACCAATGCTGTCACATTAAAGTAAGGAAGTGAGTCACATACTCCCCCATATCATCATGTGCTGGATATTTTCCTTGTTCCCCATGGCCAAAAGGATGTGCTGCTGGGGGGAAGGGGGTGGCATTAAAGTGAACCTGTGGCTTGCTTTAAGAAACAACTTCTGATTGGATGCCTGCCATAATTGTGCACGGCACTTTTTGATGACCCTTTTAATTGCCTGTAAGCCTGTAGATATGACATAGCAGGTCAGGACAAATTTGGACCACCAAGCTCAGCTACTGTTTTTCAGCTCCATAAAGGAAAACACAGAGAAAATCATGAGAGTCAAGAGCAGATCTACTGACCATCGCCTATATTCAGAATCACTGTCTGATTCTGGTCCAGACAGTTTGTTACTAGAGAACCGACGTGTAGTTTTGCATGATAACAGAAGCAAACACCGCAGCAGTCCGACCATCTCGCAGAGCGGCCCACTATACAAGCTGGATGAACAGGTCAGTGATTACTACAGACAAAGTGCATTGCATTGCAGGCTATATATACAAAGAGCACTGACAATTCTGCAATCCATACTTATCAAAGTGTCTGAAGAAAGAATGGCTTTTGTCGACCATATTAATTTGATTGTGCTGTTCATAATTCCGGTGCAGTATAGGTAAGAAAGAAATCTGACTGACCGCCATCTATAGCAACAACAAATACATCTAAAGCTTTAGTTTTAGTTTTGCACAGTGGGGAAAGGTTGGAATTGGAACTCTTTGTGAGGTTTTTATTGTCATCTATGTCCCAGTTGGGGAGAGTTCACCTCACTTCCTGTCTTTTTGTTTAATCAATTTTATTGATTTTGTTAATTCTGCAAACGTGAATAGCTTATACAAAAGTACAAAAGCTGTACGTACAGCTTAATAAAGTCAGCTGTACATGGAAATCATACATTGTTGTGTATAAGTACAGATATCTCAAACGTAAATATTAAACCATACAACTGTGACTTAATCAACAGCTATCGTATATCTTAAAAGTGGTGGTTAAGCCACCCTTCAGGCACTGCTCGGAGACAGATCCAGTGAAGGAGACACATTGCAAGGGAAGGGGATAGGGGGGAAGAGCAGAAGGGGTAAGAGAGGAGAGCGGGAGTGGTGGGGGAGTTAGATAATGAGCGAGTCCAGGTGAAAGGTTGGTGACATGTAGGAAGCGTATATACAATATAAGGAAGACATTACAATACAATTCAAGACGAGATGGTAAGCAGTGGCGGAACTACCGCCGGTGCAGGGGCCTGAGGCTGTGGGAGGGGCCCAGTGGGGTCAGGTCCTGGGCACGCCCAAGGGCGATGATGGGGTGAGGGCGCCGGTTGCGGTCCTTGCGGCGAGCTGGGCCGCACAGCGAAAACGGTCAGGTGGTGGAAGAGGAGGGGCCGAGGCGGGGCTATACCAGGCCGAGTGAGATGCGACCCGTCCCTGGCCGCCCCAGGCAAGCTGACAGGGCGGATCGATCATGGTAGATGCTGCGGCACCGGGCAGCATGGAGGCTCCGGGGCTGTCACTGTGGACAGCGAGCGGCACTTTCCTGCTCTTCCAGTGTGGGCTCTGCAGGAGCAGAGCATCTGACCAGGCTGAGGCTGCACCAACTAGGGCAACAGCAACAAGCAGGTAGCTGGGCCTGGGGAGGGTTTATCATAAGGGCTTGTTCAAAGCGAAAGCGGTGCGTTCCAGAACGGTAGCTGCTGGAACGCACCGTGATCTTCCCCCTGCGTTCTGGGCGGGAGGGGTGCATTGAAGTCAATGGCACCACTTCCACGCTCCCCCGCCCCCACTTCGCAGTGCGATCGGACGCTTGGTAAAACTTTGCGTTCCGTTCGACTGCAAACGCAAAGAATAGAGCAGGCCCCATTTTTTGCGTTTGCAGTGGAACGGAATGCAGGCAAAGTTTTGCCACACATCTGATCGCACTGCGGGCGGGGGGGAAGGACATGGAAGCGGTGCCATTGAATTCCGCAGCTACCGCTCTGGAACGCAACGCTTTCGGTGTGAACAAGGCCTTAGTGTTCTTCTTTTTTTACTGCTAAGTCCACTGTTTTCCCGAGTCTGGCGCGTCGCTTATTCCCGAGTCTGGCGCGTCGCTTATTCCCGAGTCCGGCACGTCGCTTATTCCAGAGTCCGGCTCGTCGCTTATTCCCGAGCCCGGCGCGTCACTTACAGAGCCGATTTATTTATTTATTTTTTTAACTTTACTGTTGGGAAATATTAGGGGTCTAAACAGACCCCTGATATTTCCCTTTTAAAATAGAAAAAGATTAGGATAGGTGTTGTGTACTGCTCTTTTTCATGTAATTAGACAAGTGGATTATAATGGGGAATGGGGATATAATGGGGGAATATTACACTGTAATGTTCCCTATTATAATCTATTTCTCTGATTAAATGATTACAGACAGGCCTCTGTTCTATCACAGTTTTAGACTACGTTAGAATGTGTGACCAGTGACGTGGTCACACATTTTCACGTAATCTCGCCCAGTTTTTCGGCGGTGGAATAGGTGAAGCATTCCAACGCTTTCTCTGCTGTTCCAGGGCAGATCGGCATCGCAAATCAAATGTGCAGGAGACTCGTTCTGCCCTGAAACAGCTGATCGGTCCTGAAATGTCACTTCTATCCGACTTTGTGAGTGCGGTGGAATGTGAGATCGCAGTCGGAGAGAAGTGACATTTCAAGACCGATCAGCTGTTCCACCGCCGAAAAACTGGGCGGGATTACGTTAAAACGTGTGACCACGCCACCGGTCACACATTCTAACATAGTCACAACCTTTGATAGAACACTGCCATCAGGGGGTATGGCCCATGTGAGGGGTCTGGGCAGCCTCTTACATGGGTATCAACTGTACCGGGGCGGCATGGCAGAGGTGACAGGGGAGGGGGTGGAGGAGGCCGGGCCCCAGCAGCAGCAGGTAAGAAGAGTTGGGAGGAGGTACAGGGAAAGGCATCCCGAGGACCAGGCCAGCCCACCTGGGACCCTGCAGAGCCCACCATAGAGAGTCTCAGGTGGGCTATGCAGGATCTATGGTGTGCTCTGCAGGGTCTCAGGTCCCCTGCGCACCCCACCCCCCCGTGTCTTGGGAGGGGGCCCAAGATAAAATCTTGCACCAGGGCCCTTTGGTTATTAGGTCCGCCACTGATGGTAAGGAGGGCCCTGCCCGTGAGATGAGGTTAACTGCTCATACCACTCTCACACCTGTATCAATAACTGTAGGAAATCATAGTCCCAAAACAGTGGCAATGTGAGATTTGGGCTTCATGTTGCTCCTCCCACCAGTCAATGCTAACTGAGAAGAGCAAGGTCACTCTACTGGTCACATGACCTACAGATTGAAACGCTTTCTAAGTTATTTAGAGCCTGATTTACAGTAAATCAATGACTGTGCCATACACAACTGTCAGGAAGGAACCTGAACAGTAATATCTTATGAATCCTGGAATGATGCCAGTGATCAGACTAATACGAGGGCTGCTGCTCCTGACCTTCTGATAATGCTCACGGCTTGTTTTTGGCCTCAGTACTCTCTGAGTCAGTGAACCAGAACAAGTATGCACATCTAATGTGCACATTTGTTCCATGTCTGTGGTCTGAAAGTACTAAAACCATTTGATCAGTATGACAGCCTGGTTAGATAACATTTTCAGAAGAACTTCAAAAGATTCTCTGTAACGGAGCCTCCAATGGCAGTAAAACCAGTCTTTGTCCACTCTATACTCTCATCTAACTCTATAAAGATTTGCGCATAGATATATATATATATAAATATATATAGACGTACACTTTAATTCTAGACAAACTGATCCGGGAATCACAGAAGCTTTGACGCATTTTGCAGTCAACCAATGATTATGGCAGATATAAAAGACACAAATTAATGTAGCCCTCTAATCGTTAATACATCATTAAATATTTTTCCTAAATTGGAGTACCTGAATTTGTTGTCAGCCTATGTGCAGCAGACCTAGAATGGTAAAGGAAGAAAGAGTACAGAGCCAATCAGTTTATGTGGTGAGAAGAAGCATGCTGGTAGGAGGAGAACACAGACTGGCAGATAGATGAGCTTCTCATGGTGCTGCTTTTTAAATTTTCACTGTCCAGTCGCAGGCTGAGGACAGGTCCAGGATGATCTGGTCTCTCAGAAAATGGGTTGAATGATGCTGGTTATCAGAATGAGGACATCTAGTGGTAGAAAAAAGTACTGTGAGGGAAATCTCTGGATTGAAGCTGAATATTGCAACAAAAGCTGATTTTGTTATTTTACCTTTTAATGGGCTTTTAATTTTTTCTTTATATTTTTGGCTGGAGTTCTTCTTTAATTAGGCGTCTTTTAAATCACACTGCACCTGTGATGTCATGAATTAAGCTTTAGCGTGTAAATTGCGTCAACACTTCTACCATTACTGGAATGTGAGCTGTTTGCCTATAATTAAATAAAGAGTAAGAAACTCTGTCAGTCCTTTTTTTTAAAATCTCTTTGTGCCCTCAATGGGAAAATTCACCCTGTCTATTTAGCCTGGTGACGAGAGAGTGATGAGAAATCCAAAATGTTGCTTTTACCACCAGAGATGGAATCTTCCTATGAAGGTACCTGTTCTGTTGATAGCTAGCTAAGAAAATATTTCCTCTAACTTCCTATTTTGTCTCCAGGACAGGAAATGAAGGGAAATCTCCCCAATGCGACACAAAATTCGGGGGGAAAACTGATGGTTATTTTAATCACTCCCTACTCTATGGAAAGCTAAAGTTTTGGTTTTAGAAATGCCTAAAAGATGTAATATTTTGGCTCATATAATTGTGAACTGGAACCTTGTAAGGTCATCGTAAACCAAGCTCACACACATACACAGATGAGCATGGACACCGAGCAATCAGACAGGCAGCATCCCAAGTCCAGTGTACCCTCTCATTACCTTATGCTCTGTGTTTTTAGAACTTTGAAGCTCTGGACGATGTAGGAATTGATCTGAACAGCATTAGGAACCAATATTACTTGTGGAAGAAATATATTGGCCTAGCCGGACCCAACTTTAGAATACAGCCGCCAGGTAAATGCAGCTCACGTAACTATAACTATATAGAAGATTTTTATTTATTAAGGTGAATATAATTATTTTAGTTTTTATGTGACTGTGATTAGCTTAAAGGAGAAGTATTGGGAGTGTAAAATAGACTCTTCCCCATACTTAGAGCTGGTGTGGGACATTGTAGCTGTCACACGGCGGCTCTATATACCGAGAGCTGACCGATCATGTAACCGCTGAAAAAACAAAAAGGCTTCAAGACATTTATAAAGCTAAGCATAAGTGCTATTAAAATGAAAAGGAGTTCTTTAAAAAAAAGCCAGTAGCAGAGCCTGGTCACATAACCTGTCAAAGCATTTCAATAGCCTCTCCTCCAATATCTGAGTTCTCTCTGCCGTGTTAAGCAGAGAAAACTCTGTACAACACTGCAGGCTTTATGCCGTGGCATATATTTTATAAATAGAAGGTGAGGGGGGGTGCTATCTGCTCTCCATTATAAATGGGTCCCTTAGCCTTTGACATAGTAGTCATTGGCTTATATATTGTAGTACATATAGTATGACCACATAAAGCTTCTGTCTTATCTACAGGCTCGGTGGTTTGTGATACAGAAAGATCACACGGCACAGACAGCAGAGACTCTCCTTCTTCGGCTGGATTTTCACAGACCTCCTGGACAGAAGTTGAACCGTCAGATGCAGTGAGTATAGTGTTCATTCTGTTGCAGTTTTCCATTGTCATAAACTCCTGATATCAGAAGCTATATGTCATTATTCATGAAATCCAACTGGTCAGTGTGCTAAGATCTAAGAAAATGGAGACTCAAACTTATTTTTATTAGGCAGCTAGAGGTCTCCTAAACATGTGACCATACTCCATAGTGGCACCTTTTCCTTTGGCCTGACTGTGCTGTTACCAGGCATTTACTTCCGTCACCTGCTGGCAGAAATAGGAAACTGCACAGAGACAGCTTTCAGAGTGATTTTGACTTCATCAGGTGGCTCCTGGGACAACACTTTTTCTAGATGACAGGTTACCATGTTACATTTCTGTAGCAACCTTCCACATACTTTTCTCAGCTATTTATAGTCTTATAGTTTGCAGATTTGGACTCCAGAAAGATAAATGAACAAGACTTCCCTGGAGAACAGGCTGAAGAAGCAGAGTCTAATCAACTGCAAAGAGACGAGAACATCCCACAAAAACTTCCAGGTCAGTCATTATTAAGCAACAACATGAGGTACACATCCTTTATAAACTCTAGACAAAAGCTATATGTCTTCCTGTTTTTCTGTATACAGACATTGAAAGTGAACGCCTCCACGGAGAAGAGGAATCTCCAAAAGAAAACGAACTGCCTGATAAATCACAACCCATTATCCAAAGTTCAGACGATACCGAGGGCCATGATTCCTCGGAGCAGAGAGTCCAATCACCACAGCCCAATCCTCCCCCTCCCTCCCCAACACATGACAGCATAAACTGAATTATGTAAGAGAGTTTATAATAAAACATAAAATATATATGATATCGGATCAATATATAGATTATTATTATACAGGATTTATATAACACCAACAGCGCTTTACAATATAAGGAAAACATTACAGTTACAATACAATTCAAAACAAAATGGGTAAGAGCAGTGGCGGAACTAAGGAGGGCCCTGTCTGTGAGAGATTACAATCTATTTCTAGTAGTTGGATTTACAATGTAAATGGTAATTGTATACTTACAACATCTTAGCTGCTTCAATGCATTTAGAAAGTGATCTATACCTGTCATTTGCCAGCTGTCACCAAGGGTCTTCTAGTTTAAAATCCCATTTCTTTGTAAGCACATTTCCACAGTTCTTTTTGCCCACCTGATTTGAAAAAAAAAAAAGTTATTACTGTGCCGCTTACCTGCTCCATGCTCCAGTGCTTCTCTTTGTGCACTCTTCCGCCTGTGCTTGCCACCCCACCTCTGGGATGAATGACTCCCAGCTTCATTCAACTCCTTCCTGTGAGTACAAGCTGTCTATGGCACTCCCTTTGGGCTAGTGCCACTGGGCTCACAGTGTAATGCTGAAAAGTACAATGCTCACATATCACAACAAGAGAGACTGAACCAGGCAACACGAAGAGAGATGACGTATACGCTGCAATTTATTACACAAGATTATTATTCATCTCAGGACAACATGGTTGTATTCTGCTGTTTTTCTGTAAGTTAGCCAATCCATATATTAAAAAAGGTTTGATATGTTGACTAGAAAGAGTAGGAGGTTTCCAGTGCATAGGAAGGTGACCCTCTGTATTTACTGACAGACGTTGGTGTGTTGTAGAAAAAGACAATCCAGGGATTGAGTGCATGGAGAGAGATAGATGTTATCTTTTTTTATGTATTTGGATGTTTTTTCCAATATCTTAGAGGGCAGGTCTGCCGTATGTCAGGGAATATTGTCTGTGGCTGATATCTTCTCCAACAGAAAGGTGCAGACCGAGGATTCAGTCTGTGTAAGCAAGCAAATGTTCTATCCCTTATGACATGTAGCTCACAGTTACTTTCCGTTGTGGTGGGATGAATCTAAGAGATGTGTTAAAGTTACTACTGTATTTTTCCTTTTCATCTGCAGTTCTGCTTCCCACAGGACCAGGACTTTAGTGGGAGAGGATGAGTCAAAAGTATGTAATATGTTGTATAATGAGGATATATAATGAGAGTCACCTTTTTCATACAAAAATAAGCACTCTAATGGGCAGAGGTCATCTACTGCTCCCAGGTGATTCAGTGAGGATTTTAAAAGAATTTTGGTGTAATGTCCAAAACCCTAATTACTAAAGGACTCCATTTATGTAAAATGTCTGGAAAACGGTATAGGGAAATTCCCTAAAGAAATCCTTTCAGGTCTGTAAAATATCTCGCCAGCTGCCCCCTGCAGTAGAAGAAGGTGAATACTTGCCTCTCCAGTGAGTGACAAGTGACATTTGTGTCTTCACTCTGTGCGCTGCCGCTGTCTGACACTTCCAGGCGTGTTGGATAGAAAGTCACCTGTTGGGTAGGTTTCTCCTACCGTACTGCAGGACACAGCAACTGGCATGAGGACCCATGTCCCCCCAGCGGAAGACATGCTGTCTGACACCCCCAGAAGTGTTGGATAGTGACAATGCCAGAAGTTCATGGACACCGCAGACATTTCACTTACTGCCCACCGGGAAAGGGGAGTATTCAGCTTCTTCAATTGCAGAGTGCAGCTAGCTGGAATTGTTTTAGAGAAGCAATAGGCTTGGTAGGTGTTGTATACATAGCTGACCCTCTACCTTCCAATGCTTAATGAGCTCTTCATCTTATGTAGCAATTGTTATAGTAAAGATGCCCATACAATTTTTGTGTGCGATCGCGTTATCATCCGATATTCGTAAGGTTGATGGGCAGTGTACAACCGCAAATACTGTACAATCGTACGACTTTTGTCTTTCCAGCAGGTTATAAAACTTATGTCGAATCGTACGATTTTCGCAAGGTTGGTGGCGTTTCCGTACGTCAAAATGCGTACGATTAACACTGCTCATTTCGATGGACTAAAGGGAACAAAGATTACATAGCAGCTAATTCAAAAGACAAATCCTAGCTGCATGCAGTTTGTCGAGGACAGTCATTCAGACATACACTATATTGCCAAAAGTATTGGGACGCCGGCCTTTACACGCACATGAACTCTAATGGCATCCCAGTCTTATTCCGTAGGGTTCAATATTGAGTTGGCCCACCCTTTGCCGCTATAACAGCTTCAATTCTTCTGGGAAGGTGTGCACAAGGTTTAGGAATGTGTCTATGGGAATGTTTGACCATTGTTCCAGAAGCGCATTTGTGAGGTCAGGTACTGATGTCGGACGAGAAGGCCAAGCTCGCAGTCTCCCCTCTAATTCATCGGAAAGGTATTCTATCGGGTTGAGGTCAGGACTCTGTGCAGGCCAGTCAAGTTCCTCCACCCCAAACTCGCTCATTCATGTCTTTATGGACCTTGCTTTGTCCACTGGTGTCATGTTGGAACAGGAAGGGCCCATCCCCAAACTGTTCTCACAAAGTTGGGAGCATGAAATTGTCCAAAATGTCTTGGTATGCTGATGCCTTAAGAGTTCCCTTCACTGGAACTAAGGGGCCAAGCCCAACCCATGAAAAACAACCCCACACCATAATCTCCCCTCCACCAAACTTTACACTTGGCACAATGCAGTCAGGCAAGTACCGTTCTCCTGGCAACTGCCAAACCCAGACACGTCCATTGGATTGCCAGACAGAGAAGCGTGATTCGTCACTCCAGAAAACACGTCTCCACTTCTCTAGAGTCCAGTGGCGGCGTGCTTTACACCACTGCATCCGACGCTTTGCATTGCACTTGGTGATGTAAGGCTTGGATGCAGCTGCTCGGCCATGGAAACCCATTCCATGAAGCTCTCTATGCACTGTTGTGCCAATCTGAAGGCCACACGAAGTTTGGAGGTCTGTAGCTATTGACTCTGCAGACAGTTGGCGACTTCTGCGCACCGTACGCTTCAGCATGCTCTGACCCCGCAATGTCATTTTACGTGGCCTACCACTTCATGGCTGAGTTGATGTTGTTCCCAGTTGCTTCCACTTTGTTATAATACCACTAACAGTTGACCGTGGAATATTTAGTAGCAAGGAAATGTCATGGAACACCTGAATCCAATGATTTGGAAGGTGTCCCAATACTTTTGGCAATATAGTGTATCTGACCAGACTGCTTTAGGTCATCTGACTGTCTGCGGTCAGCACTGGTTGCATTTGTTTCTGTTGTTAATTATCACTAACAACAAACTGAACGAATAAACTTCAAAGTAGTGACATGTTGTTATACGTGTAAACACGGGGTGGCAGCACAGTACATAACATCAAGAACCTCTATCATAGCCTATAACTACAGAGCTATGGCTAAGCTTGTAACAAGTAGCAGACAGTAAAATATCTATTTACAAATTCTGTTCCATTAATAATTATAGAAGCTAATTCCCAATCATTGCTACTGATCTATTGGGCAATTAGCCTGTGTCTCAATACAATACAACAGATATATTATTGCACAAATCAGTTGCTATGTAAGGAGGTCAGTTATGTTTACGGATAATACTGCACAATTCACAAAATAGATTTTAAAAGAGAACTACGGGCTAATCTTTTTCTGCCATGGTTCTCTTTAGGATCACAGGAGGACGTATACTATGTCCTCATGTAACCCAAAACTCAGCATTTAGCGGGCTATTGCCCGCTATATGATGGCAGCGCAGAGCCACGCTGGAGCCGGGACAGATCCCGACATCTCGCCACCTGATTAACAGTTGAGAGCCAACTAGAGCTAGAGCTAGCTGTGCTCATCCCCTCCACGTCTGTTCCTCCAGTCAGTGCTGGAGCGTGGCAAGGGCCCGTCCACAGCCCAGGGTGTAAGAGAGAAGGAGCACCTGGAGGCCTAGAGCCTGCGGGAGCAAGGAACATTGTAAGTATATAAGGTAAGTATTACTGATTATTCCTTTACCCATAGACTTAAGAAGCATTTAACCCTTGCAGTGCGGAGGGATGGAACTGCAAGGGTACGATTTTAAAAACCCAGGGTTCAGCTTTAATAGATAGGTTACAGAGGGCCAAGCGCTTATTTTACAGTGGAAATCTTGGTGTATGCAAATATATGCTTTC